AACGGAAGGAAAAAGTATACTATTGTCTATGTACTATTTAATAATTCAGTAGGTACTAATTAATAGTACTATAGTATAATGTATACTTTTCCCTCCGTTTTATTTTCATTGAATCGATTCGTAGATTTACTTGTGAATGTACAAATAGTAGTAATATCTATAAACTAGGTATGAAATATATACATCACACGTACAATTTAGCTTAAATTTCAAACAATTTAACTTAAATTGCAAAGTTACACTTGGCGCCTCATAGAACTCTAGTTGCAAAACTCAATCATCAGTGGCATACGTGAAGAACTGGATGAAATTTGATTATTTTATAGCTACGTGAGATCCATTAGTTTTGTAAGAAAATTGTGAAATAAACAAACAAATCTGAGAACTAGAGACCTTTGAAACTAGCATATGCGTAGTATGTTTATTCTAAAGCACTAAACATGATGGTAACAGAAAAAAATGCCCTCTTTGTACAAGAAAACGTACTCTATAAAGTATAAGGTACAACATGTTCAACAAACTACTTTCATGGGTGTTATTTTACACGACTCAAAATCATTGTGAGGCATTGTGTCTGTTACGGGACGAATCTCGATGTCTAGGCCTCAGAAGGGTAGGAGCTCCTTTACATCACTTGTACCATGACGGAAAAATCAACTCTTTCTCCCCACGTCTTTACCTTATAGCATAAAAATAATATATATAACTGCCTTATTTTAATCAACTTAATTGAATACAACAACAATTGATATGGTTTGTACGCCTCTTACAAGATGGCGAAGTATAATTACACTCTTCTAATTATTTAAATATTCTAAGGGACTAGATAAAGAATATGATGCTTAAAAATGTAATAGGCCTAATACTAATGTCTTATGACAAGTATAATTGTAACGTAATTGAATAATATAAAATGGTGGAGGGTCGAAACACTCAAAAATCATTTATTAAATGATGTTGAACGATGATATTCACTTCATTCATCCTGTTGGTTCTGCTGTTTCATTTAATTTCTCGAGTAGTTCATGATTTCTAGTAAGTTGACAGTATTTACATGTTATGTTTAATAATAGGATAGAAATTTAAAATTGAAGTAAATTGGAACAAGCGCCTTTACTATAACATTACAAAACATGAACCTAAAATTAAAAACGAGAGTAGTAAGTTGAGTAATGAGCATTTGGGAAGCGCATATCCATAAAAATGCAACAAGGACGTCGGGAGAAATATACTTTCGAACTGTTTAAGACGCAATAAACTACTTATTAAGATATCATAATATATGATATGGAAGAACTTCATTTCTTATTGTATAAAGGTTTGGGGTACCCTGTCCCAGTGTTGATTTAAGGGAGGTTTCCGCCTTCCTTCACTACACTGTATAGTTTGTTTATGTACTTCAGCAGGTTTAAGCGCGTTCACACATACACAGACTACGTATTGTTAAATACGAATGAATTTCTTTCGCACGAGTTTAGGCCTACCTTAGCAAGACTGCGCGAGTTAACGTTAACAATAAGATATCTAAGCAAGGATTTATATGTCTCTTGTCACCACTTTCGTGGATACTAACGCAAGAGATCAATTACCTTAGGGCGGCCAGTATATATATATATTTCAGCAAATTGGAAAGCTAAAATCTACACGAAAACCATGGATGCACTCAATATGCACACGAAGTTACGATCTCAAATCTGGATTCTAACAGTTTCTTCAAAAAATAATCTCCGTCATTTGAAAACCACACATTTAACGCTTTTCCGAGAACAATGTTACGATATCTGTTCTACCTATTTGTACTGATATATTTTTAACACTAGGCATTATGATGACGTTTGTATGCATTCATCTTAAGAAAAATGTGCCCTACATTATAAAATCTTCAACTGTAGAAAATCTGTTATACTTTCGAATATTTTCAAAACAGAGTCAGTTGTATCAACTAGTAATGATTTTCAATAATAAAACTTATTATTTTAAACATAGAAAGTCTGTTGTATTAATTAATATTTTAAACGTGTTACATCAGGTAGTTTATTCAACAATAGTCTGCCTTGCCAACTAATACTTTCAATAATATAAAGCCTATTGTATCTATCATTTTCAGCAGTATAAAACTTATTCTATCAACTAACGTTTTAAGCATATCCGATGACGAGGAACCCACTTTGAGACTAATAATGCTTGGAGACGGCTTGAATGGGTAATGAATAAAAAATAATATAAGTTTAACATAACAGCAAATGTACAATGTTTCGACAAGATTTTGTCATCATCAGGTA